TAAACTGGCCAACCCAACGGTTGACTGAACTATTGGCCTCAAGCCTTTACCCATCCCTCTGCGTGTGTGACCTCACAGTTCTTCCTCCTGGGGTAAATGAAGGCCACCTCTTCCTCGGCTCTGAACTCAGCTATGTATCTTGTCTTGACTACTGGTGACATCGGTGAAGTTGCTCACAAAACCAGAGGTTTCAATGTGCTCACATAGTGGGACTTCTTCATCATGATGAGATCAGAGCCTTGGGAATTGGGCCTCTGGTCCATGAGAACGGTGCAGACACACAATGCAGACAACTTGTCTAAATGTGGAGTGGCATTCAGCTGGACCCTGCCTTCATAAGTCAACACCAGACCCACCTGCATGCATCTGAACACAATAAATACTTGTTGCTGTGAGCCATGACTTGAGATAGCATGCTGTGCAACAGTGTCGTGGCAACAGATAATCACTGCAGAAACTGAGCATCCACTAAGATGGTCAGCCTAAAAATACACAAGTCTCTCTGTCTAGGGGATCTGCAATGGGACAAGTCTAAAAGGTGTATTGGACTGACAAAACACCCTAATAATGTCCTCAAGTCCCCAAAAGAGAACACAGTGCCCTCAATCCAGAAAATATTGTGGAAATACAAATCCTCTATCTTGGGGGCGTATCACTCCTGAGAACCTTAGTTTCCTCATCTGTAGAAAGGATAGTGCTCCCTCTTTGACACCTGAGGTCTGGGTGGTGACCTCACAAACAGGCTCAGGTACATACAGTAGGTACAGTAGATACATACAATAGCTACATACAGTAGGTACTCAAATGGGATTTGGTTCACATGCCTCTTGTGGTGCACAAATTACGATACATGGGATTGGGATGAAGTAGGTTAATTGTATTGGGGAGAAATCACTTACATGGGAAACCGATAACCCAGGATCCCCACTCCGAGCATCCCAGCTCAGCTGCCCTCAGAGAGCTGCCTGGAACCCAGAGAGATAGAACCTGTCCTTCCTCCAGACCTAAATCCCACAGGCTCAGGTACACACCTGTGACCACGCCCAAGTGGGCGTGGTCAGCACCACAGGTACCTAGTAAGATCTCTCACTGCAATCCAATAAGACCAACTCTCCAGACCATTCCAGCCTTGATCCTGTACTCTACAGAAGTTAAAGAAGAAACTGGTGTGGCCCTCCTCCTGGCTGCAAAATGTTTTGCTCCTTATATGAAGACATGCCATATAAATGGTTAAAAAAAAGAAGAAGCCAATTGGCTTCCAGATGGAGTTCTCTTCTCTCCCTTTAATTAGTCCCTTTCAGGACAATGCCCAGTACTGACAGCAAAACACACTGCACATGGCATAGGGAATCAGGAAACCCATTAATAAGGATCATCTACATGGCTTTCCTGGGCCTTGCATCATGTGAGACACTAGCTCCACCAAACATATTTTATTGTCAGGCTTCCGTCTCCTGTCCGTGCAACCAGCTCCTGCCATTTCCTAGGAAACTCTATTAAAGTTTTCTACTCTTGACATAGCAGCTCTACAAATGGCTAAAAGTGGGCATGCGAATTAAGCAGGATAAAAAGCTCCTGGGGAGGAGATATTTTCAGAGCCTGCAAAGCAGCAGTCAATACGACAGAGGCACTCGAGGTCTAGATCTGGTATTCAGAACTCACTTTAACGGAGATACCTGCTGTTTCCTGGGGCCACTGCTGGCTGCTCCTCAACCCTGGCCAAGGAGTGCTCCAGCCCAGAGCCCTTCAGTTTCCCTTTGATGCCCCAGACTGAAGCTTCCAGGCACAGCTTCCTGGGTCTGGCTCACTTCAGATCTAACCTGTCTCACGGTAGCCACTGCTTTTCTGGTCCATGCAGAGCAAAGTGACACTAGGAGGAGACTCTACAACCTCCTCTAATGACGGGATTCCATGGCCACTTGGTCTCTCCTTAATGCCTTGAAGAGCAAGGTTCTCCAAGAGCATACTTTATGCTTCTACAAGTTGACACACGCTTGATACAATTGGGGGAGGGGAACTGCTTCAAATAGAAAATCTCTCCTTTCCAGCAGGGGGCAGCAGGAGGCGCTGAGTGGGCACCTGGGGATGCTGATGTTTCAGGTACCCCCTGTACTCTCTACCCTGGTGCCCGCCCCCCAAAAAAAACTAGAAAGCAAGGAAGGCTTACACACTGGCATTTCTAAGCTACAGGAGAAAACTGGCAGATGCAGGATGCTCTTATCAGTCTACCCATCCATCTACTCCAATGTGCCTGGAAAGCCCGGGGACTGGAGAAGAATGTACCCCTGCCCCATCTCTACTCTGTGCTCCAAAGGTTCTCTGGGCCAGAGTGTTGTGAGCGGCGCCCTCGCATACCTGCTATTAGTCGGCTGCACGTGAAACTGCCTCAGCACCGCAGTCGCACTTTAATTAAAATGTGTCCGATATCATCTACTCATTTCCATTAAAAGCCGGTGAGATCTGAGTAGCTAAGTGGGCCACATGTTTGCTTCATCTAGGACTGTTAACATCCCAGACAACAATTGGCTCACTTGACAAATAAACTCTCCAAGCAGCTGTTTGGATTCTGATACAGTAATCACCGGTTGGCCTTTGCAACCTAGAGGATGGATGTGGGATGCGGGAATGGGGCTTCCTTTGCAAACTCAAGGAGGCTGCTTCCAGAAACTCACCACAGATGCTCCCTCCAGCTACAAGAAACTGCAAACATGCAAAGCAAGGGGCCATTTCTTCCATTTTCTTAATTCGTCCAATAATTTATGTAGGAAAAACATGTGGCCTCGGGCAACCAAGTAGTTACTACCAAGAAGCCCAAGGTTTGGTTGGCCTTGCACGGTGCCTGGGGATGGGGAGGGGCTATCATGTCCTTAGGTCATTGCTGTCTTTGCTCAGTGCCTCCATGGGCCTGGATTGAATTCTATCTTACCCTTCCAATGCCTTCAAGACACAACCCACACACCTCGCCGCCTGGGCAGAGTCTTTCAGGTACACACACCCCCTCCACCATGCAACCACATCTTCCCTCCCATGTACATCCTGAGCACCAACTTCTCACAGACGACCCCTCTCCCACATCACCAGGTGCAACAAGAATGCTTTCCAGGCTCTACCAAGATTCTCTGCAAAGCTTTAAGTTCTGCAGCCTCTGGGGGGGGGGGCAGCACCTAGCAAGTCACAGCACTGGGAAGACCCCAACCCCGGGGTGTCTGCAACAGAAGTATAACAGACACTCAGCCTGGCCCTGTATGGACAGTTTTGGACAACTTTTCGAAGGAGTAAAGAAAACAAAGGATGTGCGCATTTGGGTCATAATGCGGAGTGATACGAAGATGATCATCAGGCTGCTTCTTTGCCATCTGTCTTCTCCCTGTCTTGCCTTCCTCTTAGGATATGCTCCCCACAAGACTCTCCTCCTCCCAGTGGGCATAGCCAGGAGTAGCAGGCGGGCCCTCTGTCTTCCTGGGGCTAGTTCCCAGTTCCAAGAAGAGACTGTGGTAAGCTCCACTTAGCCTTGGGTCTGGCGGCTGAGGGAGCTCCGGAAAGACCCTGAGGTTCTTTTGTCCCTAGGGAAATGTTTCCTTGTCACTCTAGGGTTAGGTAAAGGAAAGCAGAAGTCCACTTCTGCCCTGGGAAGTGAAAGAAGGCAGTTGGAAGCTCCCAGACGCCTCAGTGCCCAAGACCAGCACCAGGAGCTAGAGCAGAGGGAAGTTTTTAAATCAGAGTAGAGGGGAATGGCCATGCGTCCATTCTAGGGATGGAAGTCTGTTGTCTAGGGCAATGAGTCTGATGTCTGGCTGCCAAGAACTCTCTCTTCCACTCTGGGCCCTGTTTGTCCATTTCCCATCCCACCCAACCCCGCCCTGACGGCTACTACAAGCTCAGTGAAGTAGGTTACATTCCGAACCCCCGGGACCTGGGGTCAGGAAAGCCTGTGGAAGAGGAAAGAGGGAAGTGAGCGTCCAAGTCCTCACAACCAACCGCACATCCACAGGCAGAAGCTAGTAGGGGCTTGGCCATCAGTTCTCTCGACCCCCACCCCGTCCCCGCCCTGCAATCTTAGGCGATAGCAGGAGAAACAAGGTTTAGGGATGGAGAATAATCTTGGGTTGTTTCCACGGCTCCAGTTTCCCTCCCAATAATTTTTCCCCGAGTCCTTTGGGCGGTGAGCGGGGTAGAGGAGAACACTCCTGGAGTTCTCCTCCGGGGGGTGGGGGGCATGTGGGAGCCACGGAAGAGCTCGCCGGTCCCGGTTTCTCCCGCAGCCCTCTAGACCCGCGCGGCGTCTGGCTTCCCCGGGCCCTGGCCGCGCCCGCTAGCCGCAAGCGCTCCCTCTGCGGGTGGGACTTCCGCGGCTCGGGGACAGACGCGTCCACCGCACCCTGCAAGTTCAAGGATGGAAGGCTCGCTGGGCGCGCTGCAGCGGGTTCTGACTCCCCAGAACCTGGAAGCTGGTTGCTGGCCGTACCCCTCACACTGAAAGCCCGTAGCTGTGTCCCTAGGGAAGAGGACACTCGCGGGAGCAGGGCGTGGGGGGGGGGGGTATCTTTACTGGCGCTTTTACCCTGAGATGTGCTGGGTGATAAGAGACCCAAGCACGATGCCGCCCTTCTCTAGCCCCGTTAGAGCTGGGTTCTCTGCAGTCCGGAACAGCGCTGACTCCACCACCTTCCCCCAAAGCCCTCTTAAAGCCCACCCAGCCTTGCTTACCTGTCCTGGCGGTGCACACGCAGAACCACAAAACTAAAACCACATCCATCGACATCGCTCCGGAGGCTCCCCGTCAAGCAGGGTGCACCAGCGCTAGCAAGGAACCAGTGCTTCTGGAAGCCGCGGCGCTCTGGACTCGCAGCCGCCAAACTTGCTGCCGGGCGGCAGGGGGAGGTGGCTCGGCAGCGCCGGGTGCCGCGCTCGCTCGGGGATCGCGCCCGGGAAAGGCAACCCCGGCCGCCCCGCCCCCAGCCCACCCCCCACCGCGGGCGACGGCGGCGGCGGCGGCGCGGGGCTCGGGCCCTGAACCCCGCTGCGGCTGCGCTCCCCACTGAGCTAGGGCGGGAGCGCGGGGCTCCGCCACTCCCTCAGGTTGCCCTGGGCGCCTGTGCGGATCCCGCTACCCTCCCCGGGCTCCGGAGCTGCAGCGAGGATCCCGGCTACCAGCGCCGCGCGGCTTCACGCCCCCGCCTTTGCCACTGCGACGCGTTGCGGGCTCCCCAAGTTGCCACAGTTCATCACCGCCGGGTCCGAAGCCGCCCAGCCGGACGTGCGTGGGTTTTGTTCCCTGGGGGAACCAGACCCCTATGAGGGGTCACGGAGTGCTCCCAGCCCCTCCTTGGAAAACAACTACTGGCGATTCGCTCCAGCAAGTGGGTAGGGAGGAGCAGGTGGTAGGGCGGAGGGAGGTGATGACTGAGTCCCTGGTGGCCACCGGTACTTTCTGTCTGTCCCAGGCCAGAGGCCCCTGTGACGGGATGCTTTTAGGGGTGCTGGTGCAGGGTGCTGGGTCGGAAGGTACTCAAGTCCCTGAGCTTGGAGCATTCTAGAGCCTAAATATAAGGAGTGTTTGCAAAGCCTCTTTCTACAGGCCAAATGCTGCCACATAGGGGAAGCTCTAAACCATTTTCTTTTTTTTTCTTGGTGACTTTCTGGATGGTTTTCTCTAAAACATACTCTCTGGGTCTCTCTCTCTCTCTCTCTCTCTCTCTCTCTCTCTCTCTCTCTCTCTCTCTCTCTCTCTCTCTCTCTCTCTCTCTCTCTCTCGTCTCTCTCCTTTCCTTGGGGACCCCGACCAGAACACCATTCTGTAGAGAGAAAAGCTGGACTTTGCTGGCGACCAGTGGACAAGCAGAGGAGTCCCTCCTGTCTGGAGTACCCTCTGTTAACCAGAACCACCCTACTGGGGTCCCTGTATGCCTTCTGTCAGAGCCTCTGAGTTACACCTCTGGCTTTACACATTCGTGTTATGTGACTCGAAGGCCCCAGAGCCCCAGCTCCCCCAAAACCCAACACCACTCTGAGAGACATAAATCCATATTTTCTCCGGGATCCCAGAAGAAAAAAAAACCTAACTTCTCCAAAGAGCCCCGCTTTGTTTCCAGGGGTTCTCTCTGGCGTTTGCACATTCTCCATAGCCTTAAAGCCACACACCTTTAGCCCCAGGAGACCCCGTGAAGGTCACCAACTCAACGGCACAGCTTATAAAGAGGAAAGGTTTCACCTGTCCGTTCCTCTGACCTTTGTCCTATGATTCAGGACATTCTGTACACAAACCATTATCCACTTAGTTCCGTGTACGACCTTCCCTGGGAGGTGACGAAAGGGACCGTGCAGGTTAAGTCTCAGCTTGGGAAGTGCCCTCTGCAGGGCAGTTGAACTGGACTGTTGCAGAGGGAATGATGTCAAGGCTCAACTTCCTCTCCAGCTCGTGTGTGTGTGTGTGTGTGTGTGTGTGTGTGTGTGTGTGTGTGTGTCTGTGTGTGTCTGTGTGTGTGTCTGTGTGTGTGTCTGTGTGTGTGTGTGTGGTGTTGGAGGCCAGAAGAAGATATTGGATGCCCTGCTGCTGGAATTACAAGCTATGTGACATGTGTGCTGAATACTTATGTCCTATGAAAGAGCAGAGCACCAGGGACCTTTAGTCACTGAAACGTATCTCTTCATCCAACGTATTCTATTTGTTATGTATCTGAGGATAACCTTGAACCCTGATCCTCCTGCCTTCTCTTCCTAAGTGCTAGGATTATAGGCCTAAGCCACCACACCCAGTTTATGTGGTGTTGGGGGTTGGAGCCAACAGCCTTGTGCACTCCAGGCAAGCACTCCACCCACGGAACTGCCTCCCCAGCCCCTTACTATCCAACTTCCTCAAAATTCAACTTTGACTCCAGTCTGGGGGCTTTCCCTGCTCCCTGGAGTATGCTGCATTTAACACCAATGTTAGAATCACACGCTTCCGCAGGAAATAAGATTTCCCATGCCTTATCGGGCGTCCTGAGCAAGAAACCACACACCAACCTCTGCCCCATGTCCCCAGCCTCTCTGACCCATTCTAATCTCCTCCCAGCTGCCCTCACTGCCTCCATGCTTGTCACTTACAGTTCAGTCACCCCATAGGGGTCCCAGTCCCCGAACCGCATCAAATTGTTTTGTGAAGGCACGACATGCTTTGGTTGCAGGACACGAAGAAATCAAGCAGGAATGGAGTCCATGTGTCCTGCTTGCTGGCTGGGCTTTCATAGCGCTGGAAGGTACCTCGCAGGCTACTGGGAGAGTATTGTCATCAACAGTCTTACACGGCTGTGAACCCTGCATGCTACACCACCTGTCGCCAGGCAGTATTGCGCACTGATACAATAGTGGCATGGCTGTAAAGGGAGTAACCAACCATCTTTCGAAGGTAATTATCAAATTGTATTCCCTCGTCCCTGTGTTTTACAACAATCCAACTGCCTTTCAAGGCCCAACAGACCAATATCTTCCCTGTGCTTTGTTTTCTTCGTAGCTGGAAGGTGACATCCATAAACCTTTGATGTAGGTCCTTTGAACATGACTCTTGGGTCTCTGTTGAAAAGTTGGTTCCCTGGGAAGATGCTGCCTATAGCAGTATCTCATCAACCCCCCAGAGCTCTTGGCTTCATTTTCTTTCCAGGTGTATGATCATGGGAAACAATATTATTCACACATTGACTCGTGTGTTCTGGCTGTAATACGAGCCCCCCTGAGAGTAGGAGGCTTACCTTTCTGGTTCACCTCAGTGTCTTTCCACCAGAGCAGGGCCTGGCACATTTTAGAGGTTTGATAATTGCTTACTGAATGAATGAAGAGACACATTTGCCACAAGAACCAGCGTGGAGGACCAGGCTTTTCCAATCGACAATGGCCAAGGCAACAACCAAACTGCCTTGTCCTGTTGGCCTCTGGGGCTTCTCTAAGCTGACTTCCTTTGAGACAATGGCTCCACAGAGCAAGGAGGAGTGAGAAGTCCTCATCAGTGTACAAATGCAGTCCACAGGCAGGGAGAGAACCGATACTGAGAAACTGCTCACCTCTTTGGTTGCCTTCCAAGCTCCCCTTCCAAAGTTTTCTTTGTCCAAACAGCCTGAGAACGTCTTCACATTAGGGATATACGATAAATTTCCTTATGAAATGAGAGAGAGAGTGGAGGACTAAAGAGGCTCGGTCATTGTGAGCATACTGCATTGACAGAGGACCTGAGTTCAGTTCCCAGAACCACATCAGATAGCCTGTGACTCCAGCTCCAGGGGCCCTGACACCCTCTTCTGCCCACCACAAGGCCCAGACTCAACATGCGCGTACCCACACACAGACACACATGCATTCTCATAACTAAACTTTTTAAATTACAAAATTGAGTAAAAATAAAATAAATGTTTAAAAATGGAGACAATGAGAGGTTGGTAATGTCACATACTGGACTGTGCCCCTTCCCCCAGGCCCCAAGATATGGTCAAGTCCCAGCCCCTGGTACCTGAGAAGGAGACCTTATTTAGAAATAGGGTCTTTGTCCTTGTGATTAAGTTAAGGTGAGGTCCTCAGAGAGAACCCAGTCTAATATGACTGCCGGGTTCCGTGTTTCTGGGCAGAAGACCAGAGGAGACACCAAAGAGAACGAGGGAAGATAGAGACACTGCCTACTACAAAGAGAAGGGGCTGGAAGGGGCAGGACCGCACACTCCTAGGAGGGTTCAAAGAGAGCTCAGCCACCGCCCTTGATTTCACAGTCAAAGCTTCAGAGCTGGGAGCAGCTAAATCCCTGTGATTCAAAGTTCTCAGATTTGAATAGCTCGGTTAGGACGGCCTTAGGACACCAACTAAATGCCAATTGGCTGGTGGAGTCAGGAAGCCATTGCAACATTCAAGCTTCCTTCCTGGGCAGGGCAGCAAGTGCCCTGTGGAAGCTGGAGGGCTGGTCCCAGAAGGGGCTTTCAGTTCATGAAATGCACGTGCATCCAGAGACCGGCTGAGTGGATGTGCCGGCCGGATGTGCCGGCCGGCCGGCCATCCTCTGGACCACTATTCCTATGTGAATATCTAGGCACTACTGATGAAACATTTTAGCTTGCCTCTGGTGGATACAATCAACTTCAATCACATCCAAACTAGAGGAACCTTCGTTGTTCTTATTTAACTATTGTACCCAGTCTTAAAACTTCAGACACTCTTAAAATAGAGCTGGATATAGGCCAGCAGGGAAGATAGGTAGAAAACACTACAGATAGACACATGAATAAAGACAACTCATGATGCTTATGCTGAAACTGTTCTGATCCGTTACACCAACAGCCTCAGATGAAGGTTAGGCTTCTCAGGACACAACCAACGTGTTGATAAGTGATAAAGTGATAAGCAGATGTCATCTAGTCCAACAGAAGAGGAACAAGCTGTTCCTCATCCGAGCATTCGGTCCATGATCAAAGGGGACCATGCTCAGAGTAGTTGCAATGGACTAACTCATGTGTCCCCCAAGACAACCCAATTAGAAGATGGGATTATTATACCTATCTTATAGATATGGAAACACCCATTGCCCACATAACTAGCTGCGCTGAGCTCTAAACTCAGGCAGGATGACTACAGGTACACGCTGCATATTGAACTAATACCATGTGTCCCAGGATGAGGCCTCTGAATTCATTCTCTTTGCTGAGGTCCTCTGGGACCTCAAACAAACCACAATCCATAGCACTACACCCTGCCCAAGCTCTGAATTCACCAATCAAGAAATAAGAAAATTCAGCAGGAGGCCAAAACGTCCCCTCATTAACATAAGGGGCAGTCCTAAGAGAGCAGAGCCTTCTGCGAGAGCCAGAACAGACTGGCCATCTGCCCTCCCTCCAGGCGGGACCTTGCCACAGCCATCTGTCCACTGAGCCCGAAGAGAACAGAAAGCAAAGTGACCTCATGAAGAAACAAAGGCCGAGGGTCTGCCTCCTTCCTCTGCGTGGGATGGGAGAGTTAGAAGTGGCTTTAAAGACCACCAGTGTGCAAGGAACATCACTAGCCAGAACCAAGAGAGCAAGAAAGAGGCGATCGGGGGATCACAGCCCTGTGCCATCTAAACTGAATCTGCGGAGGCTCTGCCTGTCATGCAGGGATGTACACACAGCGTGCACCCAGGCCTTCCTTCCAGTCCTTAAACAGTCCTTTCTTCGTGTTAGCAGCACATTTAGCATTGCTCTGCAGGAAAACTAGGAAGGCATGCTTTTCAGCTCATACTGGGTTAGGAAAGACACTGTCTGCTTTACTAAGGTGTGGACCCAAGGCTGGGGCAGAGCTTGCAGGGCTCAGTGGCCAAGTCATTGTCTAGCATGCATGGGGACGCGGGTTCGATCTCCAGCACCACGAAGTGAGATATAAAACCTAAGGGTCAAATATAGCTCTCACAAGCAGGCCGGCCAACCCAAAGCAAGGGCGAGAGCTATTGGGGAATTCAGACCATGGGAAAAGCAGGCAATGTCTTCTCGGTGACAAAGTGACCATGAACTCTTCCACATTCTTGGATGGTTCTCTGGCCCCTCTTCCTCCTCACCTCACTACATCTTAACTCTCTGTGCTAATAAGGGTCTTATCTGGCATCAGATAATAGGGAACAACTCCCAGATAAATAACCACTGCTCTTGGGCCAAAGAGTTGTAGAGCTGGAGAATCCAAGACTGCTTTACTTGCTCTTGGGAAGCCCTTGGGAACCCAGGTCCTTTCAGATATTTCCTCCATCATCTCGAAGATGTAGTTTTGGGCTTTGTTGTTCTGTTTGGCTGCCAGCACTCCAGCCATTAGCCTGCATTCCTGCTATGGAAGACAAAGAGAGCATGCCTGCTTGGGGTCTTCATGTGGTACTCCCACTTACCTCTTAACAGAGACCATTCTCACGGCTGTTCCACACACATCTGCCGCCTGCTGCTGCATAGTGGCCACAAAACCTCGTGATAACACTGTTCAACTATCCACGCGGTTAGCAACACCAAGCAACGGGTCTTGCATAGATGTGGGTTGGCTAGGGTTCAGCTCCACCAGGCGGACCACTGATGGGCCATTCTGATGAGCATTGCAGGGGGTGGGCCGGCCCTCCTGGCAAGGCAGGTCTGTGATGTTACCTCAGCTGTCCTTCCTCCTTGATGGCCGTGGTATAGCCAGGACAACATCTTCTCAAAGCCCAAAGAGGAACCAAAAAGGAAACAAGTGAGGCCTTTAAGGACTAGGCACAGACAGGCCATTGCCACCCCTGCCCATGGGCCACCGAACAAAGGAGCCGAGGTCAAGGACGGAGATGCGTCACCCACCCATAATGAGGGCATCACGAATTTTGTGACCTAGAGGAGGCAAAGAAAGAAATCCAGGGTGATCACAAGCAGGCAACTGGAGTCAGACAACCCTGAAAAAGAAAGGCAGGAATCCAGAGACATCAGCCACGCGGACACCTCTTGGAGCACAGAGGCTGTGTGAGATGCCGGCGTGTGGCTTCTGCAATCGCTATAATATAAATATAATCTGTAACCTTACTCTTGCCTCAAGGCACCATGTGGATTAAGAACACTCTCTCAGGGAGCCAGGGAGAGAGGCTGTGGCCAGCAAGATGGCCATGGCACTTTCCACTGTTGAAACGATGAAACAGGGACAATCCTTTAATATGCTTCATCTAAAAATCTTAAGTCAAGAAGGAATAAATTCATCTCCAAGGTGCCTCTGCCAGTAAATACCAGGCCAGTACTCCATAGACGTCTGTAACCTGAGGAAGGGCATCTGTGCTCCGTGTTACGTGGAAAACACTGGACTATCAAGTCCTAACTGGCATTTAAACCTTAGTCCTACTTTCTATCAACATATATGACACTTTCAAAATGCATCCATCGTGTGTGTGTGTGTGTGTGTGTGTGTGTGTGTGTGTGTGTGTGTGTGTAGATCAGAGGACAACCTCAACTGTCCTTCCCCAAATGCTATCCTTCTTGTTTTTTTGAGATGGCGTCTCACTGGCTTCACGTTTGCCCAGTAAGCGAGGCTGGCTGGCCAATGAGTCCCAAGCATACTACTGTCTCCACCTCCCAGTGCTGGGATTACGCGACCCTATACCCAGCTTTTTCATACGGGCTCTGGGGGAATCAAGGTCAGATCCTCACGCTGTTATGAAAAACATTGCACCGAGGCGTCCCCAAGGCTCACTATCCAGTCTTGAACTAGCCCACTGCACTTTGTTCTGCCCTTGTATTTGCCTTGGTCTGCCTGCAAGCTCATCCTGGCATCCCCCTGTCCCTTTCATCCTCCCCCCATGCCAACACCCCCTTTCAAGAAGCCCTGATCAATCCCCTCAGCCAGAGGGAATGTCTGCGAACCTCAGTCGCGGGCTTTTCCCAGGTGTGTGAATCTCACCGTCACAGGCCTCTCCCGGGTATGAGAAGCTCACAGTCACAGGCGTTTCCCAGGTGTGTGAACTTAACAGTCACAGGCCTTTCCCAGGTCAGTCACAGGCCTTTTCCAGATGTGTGAGCTTCATAGTTACAGGCCTTCCCAGGCATGGGAACCCCACCCT